TGTCAGGTTTCCTGAAAAAGTGATTAATGCGATCCCCCAGCATGGGTCCCAGGCTTACTTGTCACTCCTGGGTGCCCAGGAAACATCTGTTTGCTGATTTTCCCTGTGAATAATGAACCCAAAATTTCTCAGCTCTGAGCACTTCTGGGTTCAGGGCCGACAATGGCCTGGGAGAAGCTTTATTACCTTTGTGATAACAATATACAGTATATTATAAATATATTATGTGACAGGGAAAGTGAGCCTCTCCCTAATGGTCACGGCAGGTAAGTGCACCAAAGAATTCAGGTGCAGATATTATTACCAGATTCGTACATGCAAGTTGAGGGCGGACTGACTCCATTTTTTTTAATCTTTGGAAAGAACAAAAAGGTAGTTTCAGTCAGGCATGGCAATGTTACCGATTGAAGAAAAACACAAAGCAAAACTTTGAAATGAATGTCATTTTTATTAACACTGTTTTAGTTATACAATGAGAGGGCACTTACAGTTCTCCAAAGGAGAGTTACAATGTTGTTGTCACAGTACAACAGATAAGACAGTATTGTATTTTCCAAGATGGGAAATGGAGATATTAAGATTGATACACAAGAAATTACCTACAAACATCTAGAAGAACTGTACATGACTTTTTTTTTTTTTTTTTACTTACTGTAAAATCCTTTTCTTGGCACCCATTAAGGGACACAGGAATTTATATGCTGTTGGGTTACACTGTTGCCTACCAGGGGATTGGAAACTGGCAAATAAAAATCTGTAGGCTAGCCCAGGATAACCTCTCCTACCACCAGCACGCCTCAGTTTTGTATCCAGCAGTACCAAGAGCATAACTATAAAGACTGAGGGGTGGGATGTGTGAGGCCTCAATGGACTCTAAGAAAAGGATTGCACAGTTAGTACAAAAATTAGATTTTCTTTTTCGCCCATTGAGTGACACAGGAAGTCATATACTGTCAGGACATCCAAAAGCAGTCCAAACAATTACTCTGGGAATCTGGCACAGGGGCTAGAGTAAAAATCTCTGGGTTCAGGAATCTGGTACAGGAAAGCAAAGGGTGAGCAGCTGAAGAGATCACCAGAGGACGTGATTAGTTTGTAAATCTGAAGGCTCACTCTGTGCATTCGAATGCCTGAAGGGCAAATTACAGAGCCTACAAGGAATAAACACAAGTTCCTCCACTTGGAAAAATGGAGGCGCACATTCATGCTTCAGTCTTCTCTCACAATTTAGCAGGTTTCTTTCTTACAACTGTACGGTTGGTCAAAGTACCAGGCTTGGAGGATCTGGTCATGCCTACTTCAGAAGTATGTAGGAGAAAGATGGAACTCAGTCAACTTCTCCTTAGATGTCTCATGCTGAGGAAGGGGAACATGCTGGCCTTCAGGGATAAACTTGATAATGGTAAGGATAAGAGACACCCCTCAAAGAACAAGTTAGGTGCTCCTTGGATACAAGTGAATCTGGCACTCCTTGCCCCCCAACCAGAGTGCTCTGTGCATTTGTAAGGAAAACAAACCCATATGAGACACAAGCCTAGATGCTTCCAGCAGACCATCACAGCTGAAGCGTAACATCTGTGCTACAGAGTCCAAAAGGGAACAGATCCAGCAAGCGCTCGGGGGAGTCCAGGACCCCTGAGGGTGCTTCCAATATTAATGGAGAATGCCTCAAAGAGCAAATGCAATGGCAAGGTCTATGTAGCTGTAGGAGTTCTGAAAGACACAAGACTGGACACAGCAGGCTTATTCTCCAGATGCAGAGTGGTACGTATCGCATCAATAAGGGCCGAGACAATCTCATGCAATTCTGAGATAATAGCAGAAGACTGCAATTCCTCAACACAATCTTGGCAGGGAGAGACAGAGGAGACCCTAAATGTGAGTCAGAGATGGTAGCAGTGACCTCTGGCCCAGCCTTTTCTAAGGCTGCAGGGAGATCAGAAATGTATTCTGCAGGGGAAGGCATGGGAGTGAACTTAGAAATCTCAGCAGTCAGCACCAGCATGGACCTGGGTGAATTAGGCCACAAAGTCTTGTTTCACTGCAGTGGAAGCCGCTGCTGATTAGGCAGGGGATGCAACCTCACCTTAAGGAGCTATGGAGAACTCCGATTTAGCAGACCCTATATCCATATGGTAAGCAGTTTCTATATCACAGACATCAATGCTTTCAGGGGGCACAAAGTAAATGTCCTCAGAACCGTTAGGGGAGTGTAAACTGGGGTCATCCTATGGAGCGGGACAGTCCCCGCTGTGGCTAAATACAGACATGTTCAACCTCGTGGCTCAGGATAAAGGGAAATGCCTCAGGTACTCAAGACTTCGACAGCTAGTAGACAGCAAGGGTCAGACAGTCGGAGGTAACCAACCGTATGTGCGCAGTAGGAATGGACAGCAGCTGGACGTTACTTTCTGAAGAGCGGAAAAGGAGGGCGGGTTATCCTGGGCTGGCCCACAATTTTTTTTTCTTTGCCAGTGTGCAAACCTCCTGCAGGCAGCAGTATAACCCGACAAGATCTGGATTCCTGTGTCCCTCAATGGATGAGAAAAACAAACAAACATATTTAACGCAATTCCAGTGCAAAATGTTTAAAATCAGGCCACCTAAAACCGATATTCTTGTTACGATGGATACTCAAACATCTGAAAGATCTGTATGTCTAGTAGAATCTGATTGTGGGATCTCAAACACTTGTTATATTTTTTTATACACTATATTCAATATCAATATATTATCTTTGCTGTGCATTTCCCTAGTTATATCCGACTGCCTCTCATTTCCCTTTTCTCACTTACCTGTGTCTTTCTGTTCCATCCCACTCAATTTTTTATGGTTGCAATTGTTTATATATCAACACATGTAGCCACCATATTGAAAGACAAACTGGCTACTGGAATTAATCGAGTAGGTAATAAACTTTCCAGTCAGACATAGTCCTTCTCTGTGCATATCACAAATAAAAAAAACAGAACAGAAGCTGTGCATGAAAGGGAATTTTTTTTTACATAAAATCCACCCACCTGATTGATGGGTAACATCTTTCACGGCAGTTTTGCCCTGGATTTGCATTAAATATGCAAAACATACAAAATTACACCAAACAACTTTTTGATGTGCACTGCAGTACTGCAAAAACCCTACTTACATATCATACAAGCGATGTGATGAAAACACACAAGGATACAATGCGCAGTATCCAACAGAAACCAAACAGCTATACATTTGTTGTTAAAATGTAAAAAATGACATTAAATGTAAAAATGTGTATAAGCTGATTGGTCACTATGTGCTACTGCAATTTGTAGTACACTACTAAATAAGTCACAAATCTCAGGACACAACATTACAGTGACAATAAACTCAGGAGTTAAACCTTAAAAATACATTCATGTACCTTAATTAATAATAAAAATGTATATTTTTGTGTATTACTCGCTGTGGATCCTCAAATCATCTCTGAATTGGTGCCGACACTGTCCTTCTGTTGGGTGGCTACTTTTGTTTGTAAAGTAGCCACCACTTCAAGCTTGCTCCCGTGATGGACTACAATCTCATGTTTAGTTTACTAATTTGTATTGAGATTGTAGTCTATCAGAGGAGTGAGCTTGGAGCGGTGTACAGTACAGTGTACACAGGGACCATGGGGAACAAGAGTAGCCACACTCCAGAAGGAAGGACAGTGTCAGCACCAATTCAGAGATGATTTGGGGATCTACAGCTGAGTGATACACAAATAAGATACATTTCTGTTAATAGTTAGGTACTAGAATGCATTTTTAAGATTTAACTCCCGAGTTTGACGTCAGTTTAAGAACACTAAGGGCTTGTTCACACCAAGTGCGGAGCAGATGCAGAGCAGTTACAGAACGCATCAAAACTGCATCCAATGTATTCCAAATGGTATTTTGTGCTCTAGTTCACAACAGAGCGTTCAGTTCCAGAGCATGTGGAGAAACTGCAGCATGGCCTATTTTTTCTGCACTGGAACGCACCAAAGTGCATGCAAAACGCATGCAACGCCCTGGAACACACTGAAAGTCCATTTAAAAAAAAAAAAAAAACAGACCGGAACACGGCAAAAACGTGGCAAAACACACTGCACTGCATGTGCAGAAACTCATGCAGATCTGGTCCGGATTTGGTGTGATCAAGCCCTTAACAGCAGCAAAGTAAACAGATAGAGATGGAGGAAACATGCACATCTCAAGGCAATACACTTACCAAAGAAAAACAAGGACCTGCTGACAGAAGACAACACTGAAACGATGAGGTGGGGATGGTCATAGTACCATACGTTTCCATGACTTGTTTCTTGTTGTCTTTTTCAGCAGACAATATCTAACAATGAACCTTAAACCTGAAGCCCAGGCAATGGAAATGAGCTGTCTTACCAGCTGGATTGATCTTGTTTGGTTAAGAATACCTCTGTATCAGCCTTTAAAGCTGTATGCCTGTAAACCTAGTAAGCTCCCAGCAGTTCACTACTTTCATATGCAGGAATACTGCTCACCCAAACATTTGGCTCATGATTCGACTACCCCCAGACCAGCAGCAAATATATTATCAGGTGGCTGCATTGAATCATGAGAGGCAAGTATTATAAACAAAATAAACCTACTTGCACATTTTTAGGGGCACCTTAGAACCTTTAGGGTCCACTGCAGGGCATGATCATGTGTACGTTCGGTTTCACGCATTACCATGTGTCCCAGTAAGGTAACATAAGTATTGTGAACAGGCTACCATCAGATGGCAATAATAACAAAAAATAAACAGAGCACCGTTTTTTTTTTTAATCCAGCACAGCACAACACATAGCATGTGTGTTGTATCACGCACTATAGAGAGGGTGTGTTGCAGGCTACTGTACGCTGCATGCTATTGTAAATTCTGCATTTACCACGCATTACTACAAAGAATAGTTGTGAAACCAGGCTAAATGTTTAACTCCAAATGCATATAAGTGGGAGGTAAGGTTTCTAAAAAATGATGTTTTCCGGGATCCTGAAGTTCAGATTTAAGGTTTGCCATTAGGGACCCGCAGACATTTCAACATTACAGCTAGACTTAGATCATAATCAAGGTAGCCAACAGTCCACGATTGTAAGACAGTAAACAGGTGACTGGAAAACTCCAGGAGTTCCTCATGTAGTACAGAAGTAGTCACAAGTCTGGCTACCTGTTTTCCATGTTCTGTATTTGGAGGCTAAGGGATGTGAAGCTGGCCAGAAGCTCTGTCACCTCGTCCACCTGTAAAACATACATTTGATTCAAAGATGACCCTTTGCCCACAGAGCAACATTAGGGGGTATTGTTTTCAAAGCAGTGAACGTGACATTTACCAAACATTCACCGGTGGTAAATCAATGGCTGTCATTTAAGAACACATGCACCTGAAGATTCCCCTACATTACATGTTTTTATGAATTTCAGTTCACTGAGATTATATATATATATATATATATATAAACTCTTAAACAAATAAACGGGCATAATACTTTAACAAAAGACTATTTAAAGTAGATACACAGTCTAAGAATACTAATTCTCAGCTATACCCCACCCACCCATTGTCCTCTAACTCACTATTTTGCAGTGGTATGCGTGTGTACACCCACAGTGACAAGTTCAGAGGCTACTTCTGCTTATTAGGGGAAATTCACCAAACAGTTTAGCGCCCATTCCCAGTATGTATTGCCATTCCCATCATACAGTGCACAGAAATCAAGTTCATGTGCTTAATATTTGTGTTGGGCTGTCAATGAATGGCACTTAGTTCTGTGCATTAATATGTGGTAAAATGTACAGCCTCCTCCTATCTGTAGGCATATCTAAACTGTGGTGGTGTAATGACAGTGCCAGCGTGATTAAAAGGTTCCATAGGTGTTAGAAAGTCTAAGACAATTGTCCCACCTAAGCCCTAAGATGGGTATGATAAACAGTGTATTGAGTGGGCGTTCCATAAATGTCATTAAATAGTTCCACCCCAGTCAACTGTGTGAAGAGGAAACCAGCTGTGTTGTAGGGTCTGGTCTGTGCACTGAGCCATGGAAGAACAAAGAGAAGAGGATCAAATAAAATATTAACCCTTGCCATGGGGTTATCCCCACACTGCAAGGGTTAAGTGCTCGTTTTGTCTAGGGAGCTAGAGTAACAAAGTTATATTTACCCAAACCACGATTCCGGCTTGCTCTTACACCGCTCCCTCCAGCCTGTCTCCTCCTCCGCTCCAGTGATGTTCTGTCCCTCTGCATCCTCACTTCCAACAAAATTGTACTGGACATGATAACTCACATGGCCTTAGACAGCTGGAGTGGAGGGGGAGCGAGGTTGAAGGGAGCAGTCTAAGAGCAAGCCGGGATCGTGGTTCGGGTGAGTATAACTTTGTTATTTTAGCTTACTAGACAAATGCGCACTTAACTCTTGCAGTGTGGGGATAGCCTCACTGCAAGGATTAAGATCTGATTTGCCCAGAGTTCTGCTTTAAGTTCTCTTTTACCTGTTCTGCTCTGCCTCAGTACACATATCAGATCCTTACTCTGCTTTAATGTATATTTTATCTCAATCTGTATACTAAGGCAGTGCAGAATGAGGGATAGTGGATCTGCTATGAGCACTAAAGCAGAACGAGGGACAGAGATGTGTACTGAGGGAGAGAACTTCTTTATAATGCTTGCCCCCCCTCCTATCCCCTGTTAGCAATAATTGCCCACTCTCCTCCCTAAATTATTCACCTTCGGGAAGCAAGAGCTGTGTCCTTTGATGGAATGTTGGGAAATTTTGTCCAAACTAAGGTACAATATGCAAAGCAGCTATGAAATAGCAGGAAAGAAAAGGAAGAATCTGACCAGTTGCTATGGGAAACACAAACCTTTCCTTTTTACGGTCAGAAATGAGGCCCATAATTTAGTATGCATAAGAGACAGCAAGCCCTAGTCATTACCTGTTCCTTAGTGCTTGTCCTCTGTAGTCTGTAACAAATTTGATCTAACTGTTCGGTCTGCTCCTGCTGGCCCAGCTTCTCTAAATACTCCCGCAACATCTGGATGATCTACAAATCAAATGAACAAACATTACAAGGTTCCACAGTCCAATAACATGCTATTTCCTGAAGAGGATACTTCTCCGCCCCTCTGCCACTCTTTTTACCCATCAGGAGCTAAGAATAATACCTGACACTTCCAGGCATGGAGGACCACATCACTGGCTCACCTTCTTGCATATGACAACACTGGTGCCTGGTAGACCCAGAGCGGTCATATAGGATGGGGAAAGAGTCCTGTGTAAGTTCTAACAAGTCAGCTTGGAGTTTACACAAGGGCATCTTTCCTCACTACTGATGGCATTGTTTTCACTCCGTTGTTTAATTTATAGACTTGCTTTGTGGGAGTAGAAGTAACACAATCATTGTGTAATACCGCAATGGAGGAATTTAATTTACATGCGTTTCTAAAGAATTACTATATGAACTATACATTTATTTTAAGGATTTTAACCTCATATGCACCAAAATGAACCTTTTGCTATTAAGGCACCTTTGAATAGCTTAATTAAGCAATCTTACCTGTTTCACCTCCAGTCGCAGAGATTCCAGGGTCTGTGATTTTCCATCCTGCAGGATGTTCAGCTTTGACTTGGCTAAGTGAAGGGGGGTTCGGCCAGCACGATCCAAGGCATCCACTCTGGCACCTTGAGAGAAGGCAAAAGAGAACAGCATACGCCCGGGTTTTAAATCCAACATATTTTATTACCTGTACTGGAAAATATAAACACTAAGTATACAAAAAGATAACTTACCTCCACGTAAAAGTGTTGTAATTACTGGAACATGGCTGGTGCATGCAGCTGGGAAGAAGAATGAAAAGTACATAGTATAAGTGCTACCTATTAAATCCAGAGAACTACCATATAAGAGAACTATAAGATGCATCATACCTAAGTGTAATGGTGTATTCCCTAGCCCATCTCTCTGGTTTGGATCAGCACCATGGTCCAGAAGCATACGCACTAAATAATGGAGCAAAAAAAAGACACATGGATGGAAGTATTCATTTATCTAATGGTTTAGGGCCCATCCACACCGGAGTTTTGAGCTAATCGCATGTTACCGTGCGTTTGGCACGCGCTATCGCACAACACACCTAGTGTGCAGTACCGTGCAACTGGCACAACGTTCCATTGTGAATGGGCCCCATAACTACATGAAATTGCAAACTAAAACACAATAAAAATGAGCAAAATGCTAACTTAACCAGTAACCACCAAGGGTTAAACCTAAATTGAGCTTTACGTACACATCCTTACAGCAGCTATGGTATCAATTACATTGAAAAAAAAACTGTCTACCTCTGCCATCTTCCATTTGTGTCCTGGATATAGGATGTCGTGCCAATATAAAACATGCCTGTACCTCCTGTTGTCAGTTTGATTGCTGTGTTGATTTACAGTAGCTCCCAGCAGGAGCCTCGCTATCAATACAGCAGCTGCTGGAACACAATGCACATAGATGATGGAGGAGACTTCCCACTCTGTGTGAGGCCATCTTACCGGCCCAATTTAAATTCAACTTCTGTGACTTATTGAAGAGTTAAACTGCTTGTGGATTGTGCTATTTTAGCAAGTGGCCATACTGTCCATACAGACTGGGTCGATGGAGCCACTGTGATTGGATATATCAGCATTTGAAACTAAACAAGTGTTAGAAGTTCCGTTTTAAACTGAATATAACCAAAACATAATGCAAGACTTTCTGTAATTATACCAAAAGCAAATCTCAGATATTCACTATGTTATGTTACCAATTTGGTCGTTTCCATTGCAGGAAGCAAAGTGCAGTGCAGTGCGGCCCTTGTCATCAGCCGCACATGGATCTGCTCCTTCATCTAGCAAATGTTGGACTGAAAAACAAAAACATTTGGTAAATTATTCTAGAGCTCGGTAGACAATCTATTTTAAAGCCCAACTCCACAAGGTTGAGCACAGAGTACAGCAAGACTCCCCCATACCCCCCTCAGGTCCTCTTCTTCCCTCCAGCGGTGGGTGGTTCATTGCTATTGATCTAAATACATAACAGTACTGTAAGCTCAGAGCGGCATGATGCCACATCCTTGACACCTCAGGCTCACAGCAAGACTGGCTGCAGCAGAAGGAAGGATGGGGTGCAGGGGTAACCCCACTGCAATGGTTAAGATTATTTCTGCCTGGAGTTCTTCAAGTTTAGCTAAATTTAAACATGCTGCCTCAATGTACTTAAAAGAGAACTATAGGGTTACCTTTTTATCCCATAGTTCTCTTAAGGGTCATAGTACTGAGAGCACCGCAGACGGGACGGATCCCGACAATACTGTCCACCCAGCTGGCTGATTGACAGCAGGCTCTGCCTATCCAGAGGAAGAGCCAGCTGTGCCCACCCCTTCCCTGTCCGTTCCTCAAGTCAGCGCTGGAGGGGAGGGGGGGTGGGGGTGTCCCTGCAGGGAGCGGTGACTGACTCTCTGCAGGGAGATGATCGGAGAGTGAGCGAGCGACGGTATGTGTTCGCTCACTTCCCGATCTATAGAGTCGACGTGTGACAGCTTGTTTGTCACACGTCGGCTCTAACTATGAGGGTGAGTGTAAATCACTCACCTCATAGTTCTCCTTTATATGTTTGTAGTCAGAAGAAATTTGTGGCGATTAAAAACAAAATAACTTAGAAAATGAGGAAGTGCTAATCTCTACCCACTGAAACATTTGAAAGATGAACAGCAGGCACAAAGGAAATCATAAAGCCACAATGGAGAAGTGTAATCATACCTGTAATAGTGTGTTTTTTCCAGCACCGCATTTAGATCTTGTATAATATGTCATTTTTATATACGTATTCCTATAGGCCAATGTCTAATGGAAAGCGCTACCAGACCAGTCTCCAGCTCACCTTCATCTTCTACGTAACCAAAAGGCATTACCAGCAGCTGAGTTCTGCGAGTACTTGCTCCATTGACTCCTCCATGTCCTGTCTACTCGCAGCAGTCCTAGCACTAAACTCTACGATTGCCAAATGACAGTCGTAAAGGCTGAACTTTGAAGGATGTGATGTAGCATGGCCATTGCTAGAATCCTCCAAACCAGCATCACTTAAAGAAAGATGCAGCCACTAGGATCACATGAGCCTAATTACAAGCATAACAATAAGCTACTTTCTTTCTTACATTTCAATATCCACCTCCAAAAACAGTCGTAGTAGGGAGTCCATTTTCCCATGCACTGTTTATGGGGTCTCTGAAGTTCAGTTACAACAAATACAATAACACTAATTAAAGTGACACTAAGCTCAGGAGTTAAATCTTTAGCATTCAAGTACCTTAACTTTTAAACACAAATGTATCTTATTTGTGTATCACTCGGCTGTAGATCCTCAAATCATCTCTGAATTGGTGCTGGCACTGTCCATCCTTCTGGAGGGTGGCTATCTTTTGTTCCCTGTGTGTGTTGTAAGTAGCTACCACTCCATACTCGCTCCCATGATGGACTACAATCTCACATTTAGATTTCTACTGAGATTGTAGTCCATCACGGGAGCGAGCTTGGAGTTGTGACTACTTTACAATACACACAGGGACCATGGAGAACAAAAGTAGCCACAGTAGACAGTATCAGCACCAATCCAGGGATGATTTGAGGATCTACAGCTGAGCGATACACAAATAACCTATGTTTTCGTTAATAATTAGGGTACTTGAATGGATTTTTAAGATTTAACTCCTGAGTTTAATGTCAGCAGTGTAGTGGTTAGTACTTCTGCCTTGCAGCACTGAGGGTCCCCGATTCAAATCCCAGAGGACACTATCTGCAAGGAGTTTGCATGTGCTCCCTTTGCTTGCGTGGGTTTCCTCCCATAGGCTAAAGACATGCTGGTAGGTTAATTGGCTCTTGTTTAAATCGACCCTGTATGTATGCATCCGAGATAGGGGCCTTAGAATCTCCTTGAGGGCAGAGAATGATGTGAATGTGCACTATGTAAAGCACTGCGTAAATTGTCAGCGCAATATAAATACAAATATAAATAACAAAACAATTACCTGTATCTATATCATTCCCATTTGCTGCTTCTCTTAACTTCCTGAGAGCTGTTGAAAAATAAGATTGTGAACAGAATGAACTTATCTATACAACAGTATACTTTCTCTCCTGCAAAACTTTTTTTATTATTGTTTTATTACTCAGCTTGACAAATACATATTGTAGTTCCTTAAAGACGGGCTGCACTTGTCACATCTCATTGGCTGGCAGGCTGGCTGTAATGGAGGATGAAACATAATGTCTGCACTTTCTGTATATTTGGGGAACACAACTCAAGGACTTCATACAACGTTTGGAATTCTTTCACTGAATGTACTGCAACTGGTGTGTAGACAGCTGCAACCAATGAATGCATCAGTGATGTCTTAGGCCCCATTCACACTAAGTGACATACCTTTTGGAGCGGATGCGTGCGGCCGGGATAGCGCGACTTTCGGGGCGACGTTCCAGCGAAGGTAGCGCGACCTTCAACGTCGGGCTGCATTAAAAAAAAAATCGAAAAATCGCGGCAAAAAAAGGGTCCTGTAGAAGCGACTTGTGACCGTGACGGGCGACACGGAGCTGTAAATGAAGACAGCTCCATTGAAAATCATTGGCCGGCGACTTCTAGCGATATCGCGCAGCAAAAATGCGCGATATCGCGGCGGAAATCGCACGGCAATCCGCTCAGTGTGAATGGGGCCTTATCCTGCATAACAGCCACCCCACAGGTGGCAAGTTTCAGGCATAGGTCTTCTGAATGGTAAATAAATGATTTTACTGCAGTCTGTATGGAAGCTTCGGATTAAGGGCTCAGTCACACTAGATGCAGTGCGTTCCGGCCCGATTATCCGGCCCTGTGCGATGTGATCAAAATAGTGCTTGTAGCATTTTGATCGCACAGGTTCGGACCGCAAGCACAATGTGCCTTGCTATCCCGTGCGGCGGATCGCATTGTGGCCGGAGGGCGTGGCTACTGCGCCATTCACTTGAATGGCCCGCCACGCCCCCTAACTTCTCGATCCTGTCACGGCTCTGGGAGGTACTGGATTCCCCCACCCCGATCCTCCAGCGCTGACTGGCGGAACGGATGGGGGAGGGGGCGGGTACAACTGGCTCTGCTTCTAGATAGGCAGAGCCAGCTGTCACTCATGCAGCTGGGCGGATCCAGACATAATTGTCGGGACCCGCTTCAGCTGCAACGTCTCAGTATATCGCGAGCTGTAGCTCGCGGTATACTGAGCTTAGGGTGACGGGAGGACGCTAGTTTGTGTCCTCCTGTTACCCTAAGGAGAACTATGGGGAAAAGCCCTAACCCCATAGTTCTCCTTTAAAGAGGAATTGCTCACATATCTTGTTTACAATTTACTTACAGTAGTTTAAAGTATAGAAGGAAATGGGTGTTCTAACAATTAGACACCCCTAGTCATTGACGAAACAGATGACATTTGTCCCGTATGCTGCTTCCTGCCCTACATTCTTCAGCTAAAGACTCAAAGGAGCCGGGCAGAATATTCTGTCAAAAGAACACCGGCTTCCCAGGCAATCAGGAAGCTGGGCGGCGGGTCATGATCCGCCGACCTGGCTTCTTGATAATTGGGGCACACGGCACCAGTATTGGCACTTGGTATCGGCGAGTACCGGAAAATAAATAAATATCGGTACTCGATACTGAAAAACCGGTATCAGTGCATCCCTATGAAAAATCTTACTGTTGTCATCAGAACAGGAAGAGAGAAGAAATGTCCTAGTAAGGACATCTGTTCCAGCAGGAAATGTCCAGGAGGGGATTTCTCTCACTTTCCGTTGTGTTTCTGACAGAGAAATGAAAAAGAAATCTCACCAAAAGGACACAGACAGAAAAAAAACATTAGACAGGAGTTTGCACAATTACAAATGTCAAAGTGCCTTAGGAACCCCATCTGTAAAACCTGTGTAAACACCAGCACACGTACACAGACTGCCTGCTTTCTGAGTAGCATGTACATGTTTACACAAGCCTGGTGTATACCCACTTACAGCCACTGACCTCTAAGGGAGGCTGTACACAGCACTTGTGGGGTGGGCAACTCTGGCCTCGGCTGTGCTTTAACTACCAATCCCAACATGCCTCTATCTCTGTGAGTCATGTCTGTAACTGTCAGTATTGCAGTGCCTTATGGGACTTGTAGTTCCACAACAGCTGTAGGGCCAGAGTTGCCCACCCCTATTATACGGTCACAGACAGCCATGTGCATGAGCCCTTCATGTATCAATGTACAATGAATCAGACACACACTGATAACGACCTCCAACCATCATGCGACTGCACAATCTCTACCGCTTACCATAGCTCTCCCTCCCCAGGGGACATAATCTGTATCGGTGCTGTCGGTGAGACTTCACACGGCCTCCGAGATTCCGTTTCTGGTTCTCGGGTTCATCCCATAGTGCTCTAAGCAGCTCAGGGACAGTAGACGGGCAGAGGTCTTCATCCCGAACCCCAGCGCCCAGATCTGAGGGAATAACCGTCTTGCTGGGCTCCTCCAGCTCCATTCCTTCCAAAGGCTCCGGATAGCACTAGGCCTCAGTAACCACGGCAACAATGATCTGCAGCCAATGGTGAGAGAATCTAGGCTATGAAACCTGACACGAAGGGAAAACTGCTAGAGCTCATTTGAATACCACTTGACAGATTCCGCCCTTGTCTGTGTAAACATTCTACCGCCACAAGGTGGCAGGCTTGCTCTATGCAATTGTACAGTCCGCAATTCAACGCCTTCTTCTCACTACCCTAACCCTTCCTAGTTCCTACACACTCTGCGGTCTGTCTATCGCCGTCTCCTGATAATTGGTAATTCCTCCACTTCTCATATCCATTCTATGTCCCATTGCCCTCCTCTTAATAAGACTTCTTGCACATGGCGCTCAAAGCTGCGGCTGGGGATTCCTGTGGCAGGAATTCCAGGTGTCCACACAGATGCAGCCGCTGTGCCTATTCAATGTAATGACAGACTGACAGTGGCTGGATCTCGATTACGTGCAGATCAGGAGAAATGCTTGCCCCTGGATACAGAGACATTGCATTCAGGGACAAGAGTTGCTCCCAATCCGCAGGTAATCGTTGTGCCCGGTTCACACTTGGGTGATCTGTGACCACGTGACAATCGTGCACGAAACCGCGCAGATCACCGAATCGCACACCACCGTTGATCATGCTGGCAGTACCTTTTTTCAGTGATTGCCACGCGGATGTAACCCCATTGATAATCAATGGCGTCGCGTGGCAAATACTGTGTGCAACCGCCCAGCGGCTGCATCTGTGTGGACACACTTGGAATTTCTACTGAAAGTATCCGTAGTTTCTTGCCATGGGAATTCCCAGCCGCAGCTTTGAACACTGTGTGTATGAGGCCTAATTGTGTCATCTCCTCATACCCATTATGTGTTCCGTCACCCTCCCCTGATAAATGTCAGCTCCTCCACTCCTCGTACCCATTATGTGTTCCATTGCCCTCCCCTGATAAATGTCAGCTCCTCCACTCCTCGTACGCATTATGTGCTCCATCGCCCTCCCCTGATAAATGTCAGCTCCTCCACTCCTCGTACCCATTATGTGTTCCATTGCCCTCCCCTGATAAATGTCAGCTCCTCCACTCCTCGTACGCATTATGTGCTCCATCGCCCTCCCCTGATAAATGTCAGCTCCTCCACTCCTCGTACCCATTATGTGTTCCGTCGCCCTCTCCTGATAAATGTCAGCTCCTCCACTCCTCATTTCCATTATGCGTTCCATCGCTCTCTCCTAATAACAGACATCCCAACCTGCAAAACCTTATTTCAGGGAGGTTCCCGTATACTATCCATATACCAATAATATTATATAATTATTTATATATACATCAGATTTGTGAATTGATATTCAAGTATCTGTCAGTGTAAAGGTCACAATTTATTAGGCAGCCCAAGACCTTTTTAAAAAAACGCTGAGGAGTAAAGTCCCTGATACACAGTTGACTAGTTGCTATGGATGGCAAATGAAATAAATGTTCTCTATAACTAGTCAACCAGGACATATAATTAATTCTATATTATCCACAAAGGGTTAACAGCACTCTCTCAACCCTGCAGCAGTAGATCTCAGTGCCTGTACCTGCTCTCAGTAGTAGTCTATATCCGCCCTCTCTGTGCAGCAAGTGGCTTCTTCCTTCTGAGAGCCAAGCCTCGTTCTGAGGCTACTCTAGAGATCACATGACCTTCCTCTAGGAGGCAAGCCTCACTCTGAAACCTTACCCACTGATATCTTACCGGAAAGGTTTACTCAGAGTAAACCTTTCAGGGAGAAAATGCCTCTCTCGCAGACATCAGGGAGCTGCTGTCCAAAAGAGGGAGACTTCCTGAACATCAGGGAGACTTGAGATCCCTGTAATAATAGTGTCAGCTCCTCCACTCCTCATATGCCCTGTGTGTTCCATCACCCTCTCCTAATAATAGTGTCAGCTCCTCCACTCCCCTGATGAATGTCAGCTCCTCCACTCCCCTGATAAATGTCAGCTCCTCCACTCCTCATATCCCCTGTGTGTTCCATCACCCTACCCTGATAAATGTCAGCTCTTCCACTCCCCTGATAAATGTCAGCTCCTCCACTCCTCATATCCCCTGTGTGTTCCATCAACCTACACTGATAAATGTCAGCTCTTCCACTCTCCTGATAAATGTCAGCTCCTCTACTCCTCATGTCCATTATGTGTTCCATCGCCCTCTCCTAATAATAGTGTCAGCTCCTCCACTCCTCATATGCCCTGTGTTTTCCATCACCCTACTCTGATAAATGTCAGCTCCTCTACTCCTCATGTCCATTATGTGTTCCATCGCACTCCCCTTGATAATAGTTTCAGCTCCTCCACTCCTCATATCCATTATGTGTTCCATCGCCCTCCCCTGATAATAGGGTCAGCTCCACTCCTTATATCCATTATGTGTTCTATCGCCCTCTCCTAATAATAGTGTCAGCTCCTCCACTCCTCATATCCCCTGTGTGTTCCATCACCTTACCCTGATAAATGCCAGCTCCTCCACTCCTCATATCCATTATATGTTCCATCGCACTCTCCTGATAAATGTCAGCTCCTCCACTCCTCATATCTATTATGTGTTCCATCACCCTCTCCTGATAAATGTCAGCTCCTCCACTCCTCATATCCATTATATGTTCCATCACCCTCTCCTGATAAATGTCAGCTCCTCCACTCCTCATATCCATTATGTGTTCCATCGCCCTCTCCTGATAATAGTGTCAGCTCCACTACTCATATCCATTATGTGTTCCATCGCCCTCTCCTGATAATAGTGTCAGCTCCACTCCTCATATGCATTATGTGTTCCATCGCTCTCCCCCTGATAATTGTGTCAGATCATCCACTCCCCATATCCCCTGTGTGTTCCATAGTCCTCCCCTTGATAATTGTGTCAACTCCTCCTCTCCTCATATCCATTATGTGTTCCATCGTTCTCCCCCTGATAATTGTGTCAACTTCACTCACCATATCCATTTTATCATTGTCCTTCCCCTGATAAGTTGAACAAATGCCTTATCCCTCCCCCATACACACACACACACACTAATTTAACATTAATATTCTTTCCATGTTATCTTTGCTGATCATCCTATAGATACCTATTATATTTACCTCTTTGGTCCCCCATGTATCCTATCTTTGCTCCACTGAAGCACTACAGCCTCATTCAGAATCTTCAACATTTGACACTTCTACTGTGGTTCCAGCCTCCAGGCAGTTTGTCACTATAGGATACAGCAGTGAATTATGTTCAGTGGATAGAACCACAGCACAGACCATGAGCAACAGATTGGAGAAAAAGAGGGAGGCATAGATGCTGTGCGTCCCAGATCCTGGGGACAGTCTTGAGATATGACAGCAAAAAGCCTTTAAGGAGGTTGGGCTTCCTCCTGACAAACCTGCACCCAATTTTATCTTTTGCCACTTGTGCTCCAAGATGGAGACTCTCATAGTTTAGAGTCAGGACCGCACTACATAGAGGTGCCTTGGTGAGGCGGTGTGGCTTTCACATTTTCTGCAGAAGACATGTATCTAAACCTCTGTTTTTAACCTTAGCAGTAAGACTAGTTTTTTTTGCATGCTGGCTGGTGAGTGTGCTGGGAAACTTTTTGCTGTTGTACTGTATAAAGCCCTTCCATGTGCACCTTGCTTAGAGCTGGTTACAAATTGATGAGTGCGTTTGCCATTTGTTTTGCTAGTCTTGACATATGGACACTGTGTCCTGCAGTATCCACAGTTGTCCACAGGATTCATGTTCCTTCCACTGACACCAGCAAAGCTGGGCTTATTTTCCTCCCACTGACACCAATGATTGGGCTTATATTCTTTCTACTGACATCAGTGATGGGCCTTTTTATCCAATTGACACCAACAATATTGGGTTTATTTTAATGCTGGTAATGATTAAAATTTTCGTGTTCGATTAATCAAAATTTTTTTTATCGATTAATTTAAATTATAACGCACATACAGATCCAACTACATTGGCCTATACACATACAGCACAGCAATGAAGTAATAAAATGAACTAGGATCACACTAATCCAGCACGTTATTAATCTCACGTGCCCCACTCAATATGGCCGCCGCTTGAGTGGGGCAACTCAGAATAATAACGTGCTGGATTAGTGTGATCCTAGTTCATTTTATTACTTCATTGCTGTGCTGTATGTGTATAGGCCAATGCCTTGGCTGGCGCTCGTGCAGAAAGTTTCTTGGGCAAACTCACCGGCCCAAGTGGCTCCGTCGGCTAACGAAGGGAGGAGGAGTCCGGTGACGTCACGGACATCAACGTCACCGGACTCCTCCCCCCATCCCTTCGTTAGCCGACGGAGCCACTTGGGGAAGGGGGAGGAGTCCGGTGACGTCGATGTCTTTGACGTCACCGGATCGCTGAAGGGACTCCCAGAAGCCAGCGGAGAGATGAGTGTTTTCATTAGCGATCAAAATAATTTTAATTGATCAAAAAGTTTAACGATTAATCGAGAAATAAATCTTTAATATCCACAGCCCTAGTTTATTTATCCCACTGACACCAACAATGGGATTTATTATGTTCCACTTATGTCAACATCCAATTTAGACGAACAATGTTCTTTTTGTGATCTCACAGACGACAACGATGTGGCTTATTTTTTCTCTCACTAACACCAATGATGGGGCTTATTTTTATTCCCAGTGGCACCAATGATGGGGTTTATTTCATTTCACTGACACCATCAATATAGTTTCTTTTATCCTACTGACACCATGGTACCTCAGTGGCTGACTGAGATAAGGGTGAACAAGATTAGAGTCCAGATTAGAACTCAATGCGAACAAACCCGGGGACCAGATAGCTTACATGCATCCTGCATGCATCAATGTCAAAATGACCTTATTTTTTTCTTAAAATGGTCCATTTTCTCAGTTTAAACACTTGCTATGTTTTATATATTCTATTGTGAATAAAATATGGATTTATAAGATTTGCAAATCATTGCATTCTGTTTTTATGTCGATTTTACACTGCGTCCCAACTTTTTTGGAATTGGGGTTGTATTTGGCACTCTGAGCAGATAATTTTTTTCTACCCTCC